CCGCTCAGATCCCGCTCGCTAGCCGTTAGCGTTGCTTTGTTGCGCCCGGAATGGCAGGGTGGAGACGATGCTGGTGCGAGGCTACTGATTGGCATGCATGTTCACAGGACAGGGTATAAGGTGCTAAGGTGCAGATCTGTGTCCCCGCACGCCCGCCGCTACTGCTTCTCGCACGTCCACTCCTCGGTTCATGGCAGGATCGCTGTTCCAAAACTCGTACTATGTCGCGAACATCATCAACGCCATCCTCTACGGTGAGCTTTCAGCCTCAATGCGCCGCTCGCCTCGAGTACCTTCCCTGGTCTACGTCCACGCCACTCACCGCACTTCTCCTCAGGCGTCGTCCTCGTCCTCTACTACATGATACTCCGGCAGATTTTCGCGATCTCGAAGCGCACGTCGACGGACACGTTCCTGACATGCTTCTGCACTGCGCTCGTGCTCCTGAACACGGTCTACTGGACGACGCAGGTGTACTTTGGGCAGATGATGTGGATCGTGCACGCGGACTACCCTGGCGGGAGCGACGCGTACTGGGACAGGTACTCGTCGGTGTGGTACCAGACGTGGGGGATCGCGGCGTGTGTATTGAGTAACTTGATGAGCGATGCACTACTGGTGAGTTTTCTCTTTACTCGTATCGTCTTGGATGGAGACTGACGTGCTGTAGACCTACCGGTGTTTCGTGATCTGGAACAGTAGGCGGGTCATCGCCTTACCTGCAGTGATATGGGTTGCCTCTCTCCGTACGTCGCAATCTACCTTGTCCACTCCACAACTTCTCACTATCTAACCTCCGCCTAGTCTTCTCTGTCGGTGTGCTCTACGGCTCCGGCAAGCCCAACGGCGACTACTTCGCAGGGATCGCGACCATCTTCGTCACCGCATACACCGCGTCGACCATCGCCTTCAACGTCGTCGTCACCGCGCTCATCTGCGGCCGCATCATCCACATCGGGCGCCGCATGCGCGCGTCGTACCCCGACCCCGCGGACGCGGCGGTATACACGGGCGCGGCGGCGATCGTCGTCGAGTCCGCGCTGCCTTTCACGGTGTTCAGCGTGGTGTATCTGGTGACGTATGCGATGGGCTCGGACGTGGCCAATGCGTTTTCGTTCTATGCGATGTTCACGGTGCGTTGTGTCCCTCATTGTATTTGTGTATGTATAGGCATACAGGCAGAGCTGACCGGTGCTGGATAGTGCATCTCACCGCTCATGATTATCCTCCGTGTCCTCTCAAGGCGGGCGTGGACGCGGGAATCCGGCACGCTGTTCACGACTACGATCAGCTACCGCGGACAGGCGGACTACTTGACCACCGATGCCGGTGCAGGCACCCCAGTCGAGCTGGTCGAGAAAACGTCCACTGGACCAGCAGATGCAAAACCTCCTGACATTTCCTACATACCCGCTGATTCTACGGCGGGTGTGGCGGACGTTGGGAGACTGCCTGTGTAAGCTATAGGCCTTGCTTCTGTCCAGACGGTGATGGCTATCGCATTTGTATTCTTGTATCAGCATTCAGGGCGTTTTGTTGTACTCTAGCAGATAGTACTTAATGATGCACTTCACGACCAAGAGCCATGCCTATCAGTGTCTGTGACTCTTGAGGCCATCGGCCCGATGGTCTCGGCCTTCTCAAGCCAATCCCGGGACCGTGTTCACCCGACCTTAGCATTGAACTCCGTCGGTCTCGCAGACCTCCGAGTAACCGCTTCTCTAGACCTTGGACGCTCCTAGACACGTACAGCACAGGCTCCAAAAACACGGCACTTCCGTCGGTGGCATCCATTGAGATCTAAACATACCTACCTACTCCTCCTGAACCACGACAGCTACAAGACTCAGGGGACCCTGGCGGCCAGTACAGGGGACAACCGCGTACACTCAGGGGGTCCCATGATCGTTCTCGTGAAGAACTGCAATATCGCGGAACCAAGCAATCAAGCTCAAGCTTTCCACGGATGAAATAGTGAGTATGTAGAGTACTGTGTTTTCGAGCACAGGAGGATCGATCTCAGACGTTGACTGTTAGGGATGCGCGGCGTACTGTACATGTCAGAAATCTACCAAACCTGCATGACCGACTCTATCAATGATGGACAACATCTGCATATGACCACCTTTGCCCTTCCTCTTCACAGAAACAACGTGCAGGCCAGACAGAAGAGCACTCACCCGATGGACGCTAAGATGAACGCTAGACCGATATGGGCTGACAGCGGAGCCAGTACTGAACGCCTTCGGTTAATCTCATTGGATGATTTGCAGGAGGGGTTCCTCCCTTGGCAGGTCTGAAGAATCCAAGCCGCAAGATCGCGGCCAGGTAGAGCCTCGATTGGGTCCGGAGGGAGAGGAGGCTGTCCGAGATAGACGGGGGAGTGCAAGGAACGGTACGGAATGTGGCTAGGCGGGGGGCGGAAGCAACGAGACCGCATGTGTTTCGGCGAGGGCGCGAGAGGAGAAATGTTGGGAAGGTGAGCATGATGAGTAGGCTGGGAGAGACGACGAGGAAGAAGTCGGGACTGCGAGGCGGGACAAGGGGCAAAGAGGAGGCTCGAGCGGGTCTCGAACCGGGGGCCCCAGACGCCCGCGTGAGATCGGGATCTTGCGTACCATACTCGGTGCCCTTCGCAGAGTCGCATATAAGAGCACCCGCCGACGTCCATGGCGACCTCTTCGACTCCCCCGCCGACCACAACGTCCTCGCCGCCAGTCTGCTCGCCCGTGCATCCTCTCCTGCGCCCTCTCTCGCCCTCCCCGCGCCATTACTTGCCGGCTAATACCCGTAGATTGCCGAAAGCGGGGTAGCCAGTCACACGGACACCTTCCCCACTCGAGCCTGATTTCCACTCCGTCTTCTCTCTCCTCCTGCAGCGTCTGGTATGCTTCCACACCTCTTGCTTTGACGTCCATCTGACCCTCGCACGACCAAGGCCTCTCCGCATCATTAGCCTCTGCGCCCTCACTGCATCTCTTCTCGCTGATCGGCGAGCACACAGCTACGCGAACCCTCCCACGTTCTCGTTTAATCCAGTGCCATATATACCTTCTCCTCCCGCTGGCCGTCCCCGTCCCCGCTTCTCACCCTCATCTCACCCCTTGTCACAATCATGAGCGACCCAAGACCGCCTTCGCCATCCGCCCTCGTCGCGCACCCTGATCCCGACTCCCGACCCTCCACACAGCTTCCCGGTCCAGTGACCCTCGAGAACGCCCTCCACGCACGCATCGATGCGTTCTCACCCCTCTGCCCATCTGCACGTACGTCATACACTCGCGTCGACTTCTCTGGAGGTACCGGCGCGAACACTCCACGACCCGATTTCACAGACGACGTGGACGATGGCGACGTCGACGAGGAGCAAGCAGGTGCTGGCGAGGATTCTATTCCGCAGACCCCCCAGGTCTCGCTTACCTTCCTCCTCGTGTCTGGGCGCCGGAGAACCATGTCATTTGAGCCGGAGACGACTGTTGGGCGGGTCAAGGAGCTCGTGTGGAATGCCTGGCCAAATGGTAAGCTCTTGCGCCCTTCCCTCTTCAATTGGTATGGCTCTTGTGATCTTGACTAATTCATGTTCACCCAGACTGGCAAGATGAGCGACCTCCGGCACCCTCGTATCTCAGGATACTCCACTTGGGCAAGATATTGCAGGACGAGGATTCTCTTGACAGTGCGTCTTCTCATCTGCGCCTCGTGGCGGTCTGCCTAAGTGCTTCCATGCAGAACTAGCATTCCCTACTCAAGTGCCTTCGTCGGCACCTTCCTCCACGATTGTGCACTTGTCGATCCGAGCATATGCCCCTCCATCAGAGGACGTGCCGAAGAAGAAGCGCCGTAGTGCTGCTACGGGCGCAGGAGAAGGTGGGGATGAGGAGAACGCAGGTTGCTGCTCTTCGTGTATTATTTGCTGAGAAGATGGAGCTGGGTAAGTGCTCGAGACTTGCCTTCGACCTAGACGCGCCTATGCGCGTTTCTAATTCACTCTCGGTGGCATTAGGCAAACTTCCCTGCTGGTCAAGCGTAGGCTGGTCATGCTACACGTCTTCGCCCCGGCTCCGCTCCTGTCACCACCCCGCAAATTTTCACTGTTCGCTTGCGCCCGACTGCGTCCCGAAGCGCGCCCTCGGCTTCACTCCTCTCCGATTCCGTGTCCTGAGCGGTCCATCCGTCGTCTTCTCTTTCGCGTCTCGTGGTCACCTCTAGCGTACTCTATACCCTCCGGGTCACCTACGTGGCGGCGCGCGGCCTCGTATCACACGTCGTGTGCCGTCCAAAGCCCCATAATTCCTCGGACTGGACCTGTCTCGCCCTCCCCACCCGTCTCCGGCGGCGGAACGATGCGAGGCTGCATCAACTTTCCCCATCTGCTCACGTTACGAACCGTACGCTCCGTCACGCCCGTGCTTGACTTTTTGTGCTCCATCCCCATCCGCCAGCTTCTTGCGTGGAAGACGGCTACGTTCAACCATCCGCACGCGTTTCGGACGCTCCCTGAAACACGCGCAAGGGTTCTCGTCCGCCGTCCCGCCATTCCATTTCATTCTACATACATACGCATCAACCCCACTCGTGCTTGGTCTCACCCCGAGCGGCGAGTCGTGCCGCCCCACTGTCCATAATTACCCTCCCGTCACATCGTTCTCGTTTGTCCCGGTTTACTCTCCCGTGGTTCTTTTGCTGATCGGATGGAGCAGGACAGTCTATTGCCGTCTACGCTCTCTTGCTCTGCTGCGTGTATTGTGGGCCCGCGTGTGCCCCGTACCAGTATGCATCACGCTCGCTCTGCGAGCCTTGTACTTACCACAACGTTCATCTGTATATTAGCCGCACATACACCCTTTCTCTCCGATCATTCTCTTGCGAGCAATGTTCCCTCGTCGATCCCAACTAAGCCTTGTGTGTGGCTTCGAAGGCTGAGCAAAGATAGTTAACTCCATCTGGACCTCGAGGTTGGCCGCCATAAAACGAACGAAAAATGCGGCCATCGGCTTCGTAGGCGCTACCAGGGCTCGAACCTGGGTTTTGGGAACAATCAACGAGATCTCACAAGGGAGGATATCAGAATCCCAAGTGATAACCACTACACTATAGCGCCTCGAGATTATCATTGCTCTTGTGGTGACTCAATCTGAGCATTGCGAGTAACTCAAGCCAAATAGTTACCTAACTTTCGTCTAAGCACCGTCATGACCTGCCAGGCATGGGCAGGGCTACAGAGCACGAATTTTCATGACTTCAAGTGTAAGTTTCAGCAACCACTCCATGCTCACAGCGTGGGGCTCGCCCACTGTTCGCTTCGTAACATCTAACTCCTAGCTGGCAGTCCCGCCCGGCATCCTACTCATCCCCGGACGTCTTGTTCAGTCTTCTGACAGACATCAGACAGACTACCTCAGTATCAACCGCCGGCCGCGGGGTGATATTATCTTCGCATCCACATCGGACATGTGTTCAATAGCTCGAGTTGGTATTCACCTTCAACTTGGGCCAATACACGCTGACCTCCATGCCAAACCTCAGGCTCAGGCTCGTGCAGGATGACGCACTCCGAAGTTCCCTCCCTCAGAAGCTTTCGGATTTTCCACCTGGCATTGAATGCTTTCGAGGGCATCAACTGCTGACAGTGAGAGGGTGGATAGCGGTTACTACGTGCACGGCGTGAGTATTTGGTCATACAGGAGTCAAGAGGGTGGTCCATTCATTCGCCGCTGTCTATAAATTCCAGGGAGGAGGATGAACTCGCCATCCTACCCGCACGTGTATCAGCCGTGTCTAAGTCCAGCTGTGTGGGTGGGAGTCCCACCGGAAGGAAGATAACTCAGAGCGCCTCGGCATCCTGGAAGCATCGCAGACAACATGATACAAGGCGCATCTGGAAAGCGGTTTCTGACTTCATTCCTGTTCTATGGCCGTTTGTCTCCTTCGCTGCTAAGCTTGTCCAATCATCTGCCTATGGGAGACAAGTCGCTCCCCACCCAACAGGGAAGTTTCTCACACGAAGTAAAGGTGCGCTCCCACGCATTCACTTCTCGTATGTGCTGCAGTGCTGCAGCACATCTCAACTACGCTTAAGAGGGAGGAGACGGATACGACAATGGTCCGTCCCTCCAACGAGTGAAGGTTCATAGGTATGTGACATGGCACGTTGTGCTAGGATCGTGCCTACAATGACCGATTATGTTCAATCCCCTTAGATCGCCATGCCGAAGAAGTCTGAGAAGCCGTGGTGGTGGTACAAGAAGCAAGAGAAGAAGACGGCAAGGCAACAACTCGAACCGGAGCAGCAGCCTGAGCAGCAGCCCAAGGGCATCCTGAGCCCCGCGGTAGAGCAGATATTCGGCAGACACCTCATCCATGACAACATCTTCATCTACCTCTCTGCCATGTCCCTCGCGCGCATGGCGATGGTGTCCCGCGACGTCCGGGCGGCCACGCTCGATTTCACCGTTCGCGCGTATAACCTCAATCGCCGCCTCTCGCACTTCTTCCACGACCCCCTCTCCTTCCGTGCGCTCATGCAACGCACCCGCGTGATCATATCCTGGTCGTTCGCGCTCCAGTTCCTCGATCGAAGCTTCTACCCCGAGGCCGATCTCGACCTCTACGTCCGCACCGAAGGCAGCCACCGCGAGATCGGCCTCTGGCTGCAGGCTACGGGCTACGCGTTCAAGCCATCCTCCGAGCAGGCGGAAAGCTTCCTGGAGGAAGCGGCAGAGCTCGACGAGGAGTGGACGGACTACGGCCACTTGCGATGCCCTTCCGCCGTATACACGTTCGAGCGGCGGGTACCAAACCCTGACCCAGATGTCATCGACACCAGGAAGGTGCAAATAATCGTGCCGCCGCCGAATGGCCCGGACCCAAACAATAAATACTCGCTTATAGATGTTGTCATGCGTTACCACTCAAGTACGTTGGCAGAGAGCGTCGAGTCGTCGACCGGGTCGCTGATCCTTACAACATCCTTCCGTAGCATGCGTGATGAACTTCATCACCCACGACACTGCGTATTCCCTATACCCATACGCTACCTTCGAGAAGCGATGCGCTCTCGTCTTCATTGATGATGACCGCTCGAAGTGTGCGCTGGCAAAGTATGCCGCTCGGGGCTTCAAGATGCTGAACTACGACGTGAATTTTTGGCGCAAGTGCCCGTGCGGCGCATACAAGGATTCATTCTGCTCTCCCGGGTTCCTCATAGGCTGTTCTAGCAAGGTCGGAGACCGCTTCACATGGACCATGCCCCTCGATCGGGTAGGAGGTTCACCGGGTAATGCGGCGCGCTCCCCTCCGCAGTCTGACCTTTCTTCCGCGGTACGCTGGACTCGGAGCAGCGGCCTGTATCGCTGCTGGAAGGTTTTCGAGTACGGTTCGTCGTTGACTAGCACTACTCGATTTCGGGTGAAATCCTGATACTGTTCGGTCACGATCTATGGCATGAAACTCGGTGTAAACTTTTCTCCTTCTATATCACCATCTCTGAGGGCAGTTGTTGATAATAAAATTACGAGATCCAGTCGACTGAGAAAGGGGTTGCCTGTAGTTAGATACCGAAGATATCAATTGAACATATCGTGCTATGAAGTTATGCTTCCTGCAACTTACTGCTGCTATCTGAAGCACTTCATCTGTGAATGCCATAGTATGAGTGACCGGGGTCGGGTGCTCTGAGCTCAGTAGGTGGGTCTGCCACTGCTCCCATTGACAATGATTCAATGAGTCTGACTTGGAGTCCGAGTCAACATCCTGTACGGTGCTGCCATCAAGTTGTTCTCCTTTCTTCATGAACCATACATGATAGTCAAGGAACTTGAGTACAGTCTGCGATTATGGCTTCGCTCGTCAGAAGTCCCGCGCGGAGAACCAGTGGCACCTGACACCCGTGGGTGACTCGACGAGCAGGACAGCCGTTCGCGGCTTCTGTGAGTGATCTCACGGTGCACCACAAGCTACATAGGCATGAGACCTCATCTTTGTTCTAGCGTGCGTCAAATCCAAGCCGCAAGAACAAATGGCTCAATTTGGCAAGGTGCCGTGGTTCGGCGGCGAAAGCACTATTTACAGCTCGACAGCTCGATACTCAAGTTGAACTATGACATCGATCATTCGAGGTAGCAAGTTCGAGCTCATCGGGCCCAAAGAGACCAATTTACTGGGAGGCGAGCGTTGTACTCAAGCGTGAGGTCATACTTACATATGTCGGCCGCACGCAAGCTTGCTTGAATGATTACACGGTCCCGCCGGCCGGTAATCCCAAGTTGGTAAAGTTTACACCACGCAGTTTTCAGGTCATCCTCCCCGAGCGGAGTGCTGAGCGCTGACTGTCCTTGTGTGCAGGATATCGGTCTCCAGAGACAGTGAGTTTTCAGCTGAAGAGTCTCCGCTCGGGGGTACGGAGTTCAGTATGACGGCGATCAAAGATACTAAGCAACGATTCTGAAGAGCACAGCTCTTTGTCGTGTCGATCGAACGTCGATCGGAGAATGCGCTTACCAAGCAGGAAAGAAAGTAAAAACTCTGCGGGCGCCTCCACTCCCAAAAGGCCCCGCCCGGATGTCCGGTCGGATTATCGCTTGTGTGAGGAGACATTGCGTAAGTCATGTCCTGATTTCCGCTCCTCAACCGCACACCCAAGTTGGAGTCGTTCTCCGTGCTTCTTCAGGAAACATGTTGCGGAAGATACGAGAACCCACAGTCGGGCCCGCTTCAGGCAGTGGCTAGGTAAAGTAGTATTTAAGGGTACCGACGTTGACCCAGCCATCCATCCTCACAACACACCTTTCAACACTCCCACTCATCCAAAAACTCAGTAAATATGCCCGCAGTCACTTCCGGAAAGGTCCTCGTCACCGGCGCAAACGGTTACATCGCCGTCTGGGTCGTCAAGTCCTACCTCGAGAAGGGTTTCGCCGTGCGCGGTACGGTGCGCTCCGAGAGCAAGGCGAAGTACCTCCGCCAGCTCTTCCAGTCGTACGGCGACAAATTCGAAATCGTGATCGTCGATGACATCACGAAGGTACGTCTTCGCCCCTCGCCCCCCCGGCTCCTCGTTGCCCAGCGGTGCTGACTTCTGTTCTCAGGAGGGTGCCTTCGACGAAGCCGTCAAGGGCGTCGACGCGATTGCACACACTGCGTCGCCTTTCCATAACCGCGCAGACGACCCGAACGAGGTCATTGTTCCCGCGGTTCAGGGCACGCTCAGCGTCCTGAACTCCGCACTCAAGCACGGTGCGCAGACCGTGAAGCGCGTTGTGATCACCGCATCGTGCGCGTCCATCCTCGAGTACGGCACCACCCCGAAGGTGTTCTCCGAGAAGGACTGGAATGAGCGCGCGATTCGGGAGGTGAACGAGAAGGGAAAGGCGGCGGCGAACGGGGACAAGTACTGCGCGAGCAAGACGCTTGCCGAGCGCGCTGCGTGGGACTTCTGGAACAAGCACAAGAGCGAGGTCGCTTGGGATGTTGCGGTAATGAACCCGCCATACGTGTTCGGCCCCGTCCTGCACGAGGTGGACCAACCGGAGAACTTGAACGAGTCGGTCAAGCTTTGGTGGAACGCAGTCGTCGCGGGAAAGCTCAGCAACGAGGAGCTCGTCACGGTTGGGTATGTCCATTTGTTGGATGATTAAGTCTTGAGGTCTTTGCTAACTGCGCGGTGTACAGATCTGCCTGGGTAGACGTTCGGGACCTTGCAAATGCCCATGTTCTCGCCACCACGACGCCCGAGGCCGGCGGCGAGCGCGTCATCATCAGCCCCGGTGTCTTCAAGTACCAGGACTTCGTCAACGTCGCCCATCGCCTCTACCCCAAACTCTCTGCAGGCAACACGTCGTACGACCCCGCGAAGGCCGTGCACATGATCTCGTACGACACGAGCAAGGAGCGAAAGCTCTTCGGCATCAAGTACCACACGGTGGAGGAGACGACGAGGGACACGCTGGAGGACTTCATCAAGCGTGGCTGGATCTCGGTATAGATCGGACATATGTATAATGCACAGTGCATGCTCTTGACGGCCGGGGCTCGTCCCATCTGTACAACCTACACATAATTGACTGTACCATATTCACATGATCGACTAATCTGTAGACGCGT